CCTGCCCCAGGCTCTGCTCCCGTGGGGGCCATGCCCGCGTCCCCATCCGGCCGCCGGCCGCTCACTCTGTGGGTCGGGGCCCCCCGTGCCCCGGAGCAGCAGGGGCAGCAGCCCCAGGGGCAGCCAGGCCGGGGCCCCCCAGCACCGGGGACGGGGACCGGCCATGGACTGTTGTGATGTCACCGCATTCCCACGGGGTTGCTAGGCGACCACGTGATGAGGCTGTGAGGGAGGTTGGAATGGGGGGGGGGGGCGGGGCCCGCCCCCCCCCCCCCCACTGTGGCCCACCATGTTGGGGGCTTCTCATTGGCCACGTGAAGCCATCTGTCACAGCTCCCCTATTCAAAATGGCCACTGCCACCACAGGGGCCAAAGCCACTTTCTGCCCCCAGCCAAAATGGCCACCAGCCCCTGCCCTTCTCCAGGGCCGGGGGCAGGTCCCAGGGGCGGTGCTGGGGCACTTGCACCCCCGGGCTTCCCGCTGCCCCCACATCCACCCCGCCGGCCTGGCCGAGGCAGCCGCGTTTCTCGTCAGGCAGCGCTGAGGGGGGCCCTGGACTTCCCGGCTCATCGTCACCCCGATTCCTGCTAATCTCTTCACTCCACAGGCGATAACGCCCCTCCCTCTGTACCGGTCTGCATGTGCCGCCTGCGTGGCCGGCCTCTCCCGCTGCCCGCGAGGAGCCCACGCACCTCAGCCTCTGCACCGCCTTGTCGAAACTCTGGATCCGTCCGCCCCGGCCGGATGCTCCTTGGTCCCTCCTGCCCTGGCGCCCCCCATCTCCCTCCCTCCCTCGCTCTGCCCAGCCCCAACGCACCCACAAGTTTGACGCCGCAGCCATTTTCCACCAGTGCTTCCAGTAAGACCCAGTTCTAACTTTTTACTCTCAACTTGTACAATTTTGCACCTCTGAAGCACCGTTTTGGCGCGCTGAGGCTGTATCAGGCCATCCAGGGCTCAGCAAAGGTGGCTGCTCTTGCGGTGCCTTGGCTTACCTATGGCCTGGTGCCACCAAACCTCCTACGCTGGGCGGTGCCGCCGCCCCGGGGAGGGCGTTGTCCGTGCCCCGTGACAAGTCCCGCTGTATTTGTCGAGCTTCAGCCACGGGCCCTCGCTCTGCCGCTCTGCCATAGCAAAGCCCCGTCAGCCCTGGTCCCTACTCCGTAGGAAGGGCTCGTGCCCCGGGGTCAGGCAGCCATGGATGGAGGCTCCCGCTGGCATCAACCCCACAGGGTCTTGCCCCCGCGCTCAGGCTCAGCCCTACGCTGCACTGGGGCAGGAAGGGATTTCCCCCCCACTCAGACTGGTTGCACTGGGGGGGGGTTTGCCTTCCTCTGCAGTGGGGGCACGGCCCGGCCTGGGCTCACTGCAATGCCCACAAGCCCCCCAGCGGGATGTTGGCAGCCGCGGCCCCCCTGTATCCTGGGGACAGGGGCAGGGGCGATGCCTGGAGCTGTGTCGGGGGACTGTAGTTGTACTAGACACAGGGTTTGTCTGGGCCTGACCCTCCCGGTGGCTGTATTTCTGGCTGGTCTGCACGCAGCTCCAGCCCTGGCACCAGCGGAGCTGCAGCCACTTGCACTCTCCAGCTGTGGCTGGTGGACGGGGGGGGCCGCACCCCACGGGGAAAAGCCCCCCGGCCCCCCGCAGCGGCGGAGCCGCAGCCACTTGCACTCTCCAGCTGTGGCTGTTGCACGGGGTGGCCGACACCCCACGGGGAAAGGCCCCGGCGCTCCACGGAGCCTGCTTTCCTGCAGGCACGGCCCCCTGCCACCTCCCTGCTGGGCACGACCATGGTCTATTCCTGTCTTTCCAAAGTGCTGGGGCCAGGAGCATGAAGGCAATGAGCCATGGGAGGGTGGTGCTGTGGCCTAGTGATTAGTGCAGGCACGGGGGAGCCCTGAACCAGCTCCAGCTTTGTCCCAACAGCTCCCTGGAAGATGAGGGGGGTCTCCCTTTGTGCCCCCTCTCCTACTTGCAGGGCTCAGGACCAGCTCTCCTCCGCTCCCGCACCTGCAGCGGTTGAAGCCCCAGCTCCTGGAGTCTGGGGAAGGGGCCAGAAGTTGCACTTCCAGCTTGTTTTGCAGAAAAAGGGACACAGCCATGCCTTGAACCTCCACAGGAAGGGAGAGCTCAATGGGTCCCTCACCATCTCCTGGCACCCAAGTGCCCGGCCCCGTGGTGCCAGCATCAGACCCTGCGAGCTGGGGAGAGGTGGTCTCTAGCTGAGGCCCGACAGGGAGGCCGAGGCCAGAAGACCCCCGAATAGGTGGCCTGTGGGGACCCCGTCTCCATTCCCCCAGCCCTGCCCGGGGCCCCAGGGCTGGGCAGGCAGCAGCTGCGAGCTCCAAGGAAAGGGCAGGCGGGCAGGCCCTGGGGTCACATCCTGGCTGCCCAGGAGGTCCCAAGGCCTTGCTAGGGCCTCAGCTCCACGTCCTTCCTCACCTCCAACTGCAGCCTCTCTGAGAGCAATGGGAGCCTCTGCTGTCCTGTCCCCTGCAGACAGACACGTCTCTCCCCCTCTCCTCTGCTGACCGCCCCGCTGTCCCCGCCGGCCTCTCCTCCAGAGCCACCGTCCAGGGAGCTCCAGCCTTTCCCCCCAGGCCGCAGCGCACGGCTGGGCTCTCTCCATTTCGCTGCATCTGTCCCATGCCCGCAGCCGGGGGCTGCAAGGGGGCTCCATGCCTGCCCCGAGCCCCCTGCACGGCGCCCAGCCACCCAGACCCACAGCACTCAGCCCAGCACCACAGGCTGTCCTGGGACACGGGGCACGTGGCCACCCGGCCCCAGGCCTCAGCACCTGTGGGCTAGGACCCTGGCTTCATGCATGGATGCACACAGAGCTGCTCCCGGCCTCGCCATCCCTGCCAGCGGGGTCTGGGGCTGGGCTCGGGGCAGGGCCTGGGCTCTATGGGCAGAGCGCGCAGCAGACAGACAGAGGCAGACAGAGACCTCCCCACGAAGGGCGGACAGACGTCCAGCGTTAGTAATAAACATGAGCACTGTGGGCCCTCCAGTGCGGGGGGCCCGTGGCTCACGGCTCCGCGACCAGCCAGCACCGCCAGCTCAGCCGGGAGCACGGGCAGCCCCAAGGGGCCGCAAAGCCCTGGGGGGTTAGTCGGGCCACGCTGGCAGCCGCGGGTTGCGGCAGGGAAGACGGGGGGGCCGTGGTGAGGGCCAGGCTAGGGGCAGCGGCAGCAGGAGGGCTTGGGGGTGCAGGCGGGGACGCAGCAAGGCTCCAGAGCGGGATCGTAGCCCTTCTTCATCTGGCTGTCCCCGAACACCATGCGCTGGTCGAACTGCATCTTCTGCATCTGGATCTCCTTCAGCGCCCACAGCACTACGGGGCTCAGGGCCGTGCTGCTCCGCAGCAGGTCGTAGTTCTCCGCCGGGTCTGACTCCAGGTCGAAGAGCAGCGGGGGCTCGTGGGGCGTCAGCGGCGTCAGGCCGTGGCAGGCCACGTCAGGGGTCGTGTCGCTGTGGAAGTCACCTGGGAGGGACCCAAACAGCGATCAGCTCCCCCCAGGCTGGGACCGGGGCCGGGGCCGGGGCCGCGGGCAGGGATTGGGGCCGTTACCTCGGGTGAAGAAATGGGCCTTGTACTTCCCCTGCCTGACGGCGAAGACGCCCCGCGCCTTGCTGGGGGACGACGGGTAGTAAAACATCGTCTGCCGGGGGCTCTGCAGGGACATCAGAACCGGCGTCACGGGGGCCAACGGGCCGCGCGGGCAGGCCCCGGCCCCAGGACTCACCGGCCCTTGTCCGAAGAGCACCGGGGTCAGGTCGTAGCCGTCCAGCTCGACGTCGAGGAGCGGCGCCCCGGCCAGGGCAGCCATGGTGGGCAGGATGTCCAGGGTGCTGGCCAGCTCGTGGGTCACGCCTGGGAGCAAGGAGACGGGCTCAGGAACTGTGACACACCCTCCTCCTCACACCTGGGTTCAGCCCCCCAACCCCGACCCCCTTCCCTCTCCTCACGGGTCCGGGGCAGCCGAGCAGCCTTCTGCCCAGGCTCAACCCTGCGCTGCACTGGGGCAGGAAGGGATTCCCCCCCCCAGACTGGTGCGCACTGGGGGGTTTTGCCTTCCTCTGCAACTGGGGCTTGGCCTCAGGTCATCCGTCAGCAAACTCAGCCCAGGTCCACCACCGCGGGAGCGGGGCCTCCCAGGCCAGCGCGCGCCCACGACAGGCACCCGGGCCGCAGGACTCACCCGGCGAGATGCGGCCCGGCCAATAGGCCACGGCGGGCCCGCGCATGCCGCCCTCGTACGTCGTGCCCTTCCCGCACTTCAGGAGGCCAGAGCTGCCCCCGCGCGCCATGCGCAGCATCTCGGGGCTGTGGGCAGGGGGACGGCCCGTCAGTCCTGGCCCCGGGGCGTCCCAGCAGACAGGTGTGGGGCGGGCCAGCACCCCAAAATGGCCCCGAGAGCATGGCCGCAGAGGCGCGCTTGGCCAGCAGTGATCCCAGCAGGAGC